AGCATATGAAAGGTGCACAGCTTAACATTCCAGCAGCAAACCCACTGCCCTGCATCAGAACCTCCAGAGAAATAGCCCTAATGTCCTTTCCAGAACTGAAAGCTCAAACTTTGCCTCTGTCTGACTGTGGTATCACTTTGATTCCTCTTCATAGCTAGACAGTAGACACATATATACTATAGGTTCTGTGCTGCAAACCACTCTAAACATTACTGTATTTCAGCAATGATGAGTTTATTTAATCTGAGATGTGGCTTTTTAAAAATGTGCAAAGTTCAAATATTATGATAAGCACGCGCTAGTTAATTGTGACATACTGATGTATTTGTTTTACTGAGGTATCTCCTGGGGAAATGATTGTGTGGGGCGATAATGAATGTGAATGACTCTTGCTTAATCATTTAGTTATTAGCATAAATTTTGAATGAACAAATTTGGTGTCGACAAGATGTGGAATTAATGCAGGTGTCATTTAAGACCTCCAGTTCTAAATACAGTTCAGCAGGATTTGTTGTTGTTTTATTGACTATTGGAAAGATGAACAAATTGCGAAGGCTGTATCTTTTAGCTCCCAAGTTTTGGTATTTCTGTTCCATGAATGCAGATTTGGAACAAGGTGCAACAGAATATTTTAAAATGTAGAAATACAACAAAGAGAACACTTTTTTCTTTTTAAACACCTTTTCAATATGCATTTCAAGGCTCAGCACAAGAAGTTATGACGTTTGACCTCTTTCAATTTTAACTTAGATTTTAGACTGGGTGTGCAGAAGGTTACAATTTTTAAACTATTGTATTTTATTGTTGTCACATAATCCATCTTAATTACGTCACAGGTATCTCTACTAATGAAAGGGGAGAAGAGATTATAGTATCTGAGTCCTTCTTCCTGGAGCTCTCCAGAAAGCTCTTCCAGGATTCTTCTGAGCAATGTGGAAAGTGGTATGTGGGCTGTCTAGGGAAGGGAGGATTGGTGAAAAACACCTCCCCAACTCCCCCCCCTCTTTTTAATGGAGGCTTCCATAGATCATATGTTGTTCTTCAAATAGAAAGAATCCCTCTATTCATGGAAGGGCACCATTTTATACAACTCTGTGAGTGTTAGCTGTGGGAGACAATTGGGTAGGAGGAAAATATTTGTTGGGAGTGTCTGCTATTCATCATTTCATTATATAAGTTGTCATTTGATATTTTGAAGGTAATGATTTTATTGGTGGTTTTATGTGAAATCTGCCCTCAGTTCATTTGATTACGGGCAGGCCTAAAAATGGAAGATAACAGGAAACTAAACAAAAAAATGAACAATGAATTATGTCACATATCAGAGAAAATAATCCAATGTATCATATGCCGAAATAAGGGTTGCATAAGGTCATGGTCCCATCAGTATTAATTTTTCCCAACTGATTTTCGACAGGTAGGCATTAATTGGGTTGTTTTGTCAGCATGAAACATCTCTGATCTAATTGGCTCACCTGTGGACACTCCATGTATACTGAAGTTAGAAAGAAAGGTCAGAAATCAATGAACAGATGGCATCTGGTAAAAGCAATTAAGAGCTGAAAATTCCATCCTTCCTTGTACAAGCTGCATGGAATGTTTAAGCAGACATTTGACCACAGAGATCAGGCATTAGCCCTCATGTTTTTCTTTTGACAGTTATTGTAGTACAAATAGAAGGTCTTCTAATGTTGAATAAAATATTTATCATACTACAAAAGAAGGAGAAAGAAACACTCCTCAAAAACAGAAAAGAGAAATCCTTACATTGCAGTTGAAGCCATTTGAATTTACAACATTGTTTTTTATTATGCAAAACATCCCTGCAGGGAACTGCTTTCCCTAAAACCTAAATATGTCACATAGAACTTGCCTTTGGGATCTTTTACTTTGGTTCAGGCACAATATATTACAAACCTTGTTGGAGCCCAGCTAAATGTGATATTTGCCATGCAGTTTGGTGTTGTCTTATGGACTTTTGTTTAACAAATAACAGTACAGGACCAGGAAAGCCAGAACGGGATCATGCAGTAGCAGAGGGATTGTCCAGTTGTCCACCTTTGGTCATATGACTGACCAAACATACAGCCAAGGTGGGTGTGTGGAGAGGGAATAAAACTGAGGGTCTGAAATAGCTGGGAGGAATATGTGAATCTGCTCAGAGCAGAGGATCCCCTAAGATTTAATTGAATTATTAACTTTGCTTAGTTAATGTGACTAGCACACAAAATGAATCTGTAGAAAATGCTACTTACCTGTAAGCATCCCTCAGCTAAGAAAGGCTTCCATTCATCTTGGACTTAAATTTAGGAAGCACAGAAAGCTCATTCAGTGTCGCACTGCTGATTTCAAGTCAGGCATGAAGCTCTGCCTCTAGGGTCTTCATCTTAATTCAGTGCTTATTTAGTTACAGGTTATTATGGGAAAGCATTCTCCTAGAAAATATGGTCATCCTGAAGTCATAGAATGCCAATATATTTCCTTTATAATGTTCACATCATATCCTAATGAACAGGGCATTAACCTTGCAGGAGCCCCAAATCTGTACAGTTGACTTTGACTTGTATAGCTCATTTACACTGTAAGCTCGTTTAATAAGAGGATTGCTAATATCATCCCTCACCTATAAGGCCTTGGAATTTCTGTTGAACGGTCAGGAGTTTATAGATATGAATAACTTAATTTCTCCAGGGTGAAGACTTCCTAACTCTGGTCCATCACCCAGGCTCCTCCTCCCTGCCTGCCTATGATTGGGCAGTTCAAATTTTAGATTTGGCAGGCTATCCCACCATCCAAAGCTGCCGGCCAGAGGAAAACCCAATGCTTGGCAGTGAAGGGATGTCTCTCTCTCCACCCCGCCCCCCCCAGAGGCAGAGGGGGAGCTTGTGATGATGAGCTGCAACCGCTTCCCATCCCTGAGCAGGGTTAGCAGCCATTCTCTGGGGATGCAGAAGGATTTCTTATTTCTGAACAGGAAAGTATTCAAGTTCTACTCTTACTTATGCTTCCATTATTCCTGTTGGAACTAACAGAAGTAACTTCATATCAGATTCCTGATATGAATTAGCACGGTCTTTGATTCCTTTGTAAAATGTTAGTTGTACAGAAGAGATAAAAAACCAAATAACTGATTCTGGAAAGGAGACAAAAAAAGACCAAAGGATAACTTCATTATGAGCTTACAAAATAACCTGGTACCAAGAATCAGGAAGATGATCTCTCTCAAATCCAACACTTGTTGGGTTTGAATTGCTTATACTTAAAAAATTGGGCACGAGTCATTCATATAACCATAAGCAAGATGAGGATAGTTCTGAAAAGGTACAATTATTCTGAATTAAGACCCACTCTCTTTGTAAGCCTTCTCTGAGTGCAAAAATATGGACAAATGGAAGCTGACCCCTGTGCCTAGAAGTGTCTGAGTGTTGACATGAGTCATCTCAAAACCCCAAATCTAACACCCCTCAAGTAAAAGTAATAAAGTCATAATAAAATGAACTTTAGCTTTATTGTGAGACATTCTGATGTTCCTCAACAATGAAACAAAAGTTGAAGGAGACCATATAAATATTGGCAACACATGGTGAGAGCCAGAAATTATTTAAATATGGAAACTGGAGAAACTAGCCGACTAAAATACATTGGTTCATTTTCACAGTCTGGCTACTTTGGTTGAGTCACACGTCTCCACTGGAGTGTGTGTTGTTGTTGCTGTTAAGTCGGATGGGGGTTGGAGAACATTTTTAATAGGACTTTTAGTGGCAAGGTTAAAATATCTTGATTCCTTCATTGTACCCTGCTACAAAATGTCTCTTAGACCGCAGTACCATGGTAAATCACAGGGAACTAAGTGAAGCTTATTTCTGACAAGCCATATGTAACATTGCGCCGTTCATGCTGCTAAATGAAATAGATAACAAACAATGGGAGTATGAACATTGGTAAAGTTGAGCTGCAGTTCCTGTGCCAACATGTCATGCTAGTTTACTATCAGTGTAAATGTTGCACAAGCATCTGTTGCACTGGCAGATTTTCAGATGCAGGATCTCTTGGTATGGAAATGGACAAAAGAAAAAGATTTTTCACTCTGTGTGTATGTGTGTTATTTTAAATTGGAATTTTGGATTTATAATAACTAAACTGGAAACACTAAAGCTTTGTGCTGTAGTAACCTCCCCACCCCCAGTCTCAGCAGATATTTATATGAATTAAAATTTCCCTCAGCACCCAAAGTACTCCTATATTTCACTCCTAAAATGTTTTATCCATCTTTTTAAGAGTTAAGATTGCAGTCATTATCAACTTCTTCATTTTATTCATATTAATTCAGCAACTAAATGATGCCTGCAGCATGCTGCTATTTTACTAGCCAATATCAGATTGTAGAAATTAGGCTGGCAGATAAAGCATTTTTATAACACCATCAATGTACAAAAGGGCACAGCAATTCCCACAGCCCACCTACTGTGCTATAATTAATAACCTCTCCTTATGGCAAGGACTGTGTTAATATATAAATTACATTGCAGCACTTGACAAATTAAATGCAATTATAAATCTTCCCCTAGACCAATTAGCATTTAAACAACAATTAAATGTAGGAGATATCCTTATGCAATGACCCACATAGAATGGAGATAATCTTCGCAACACAAAATTCTCTGGCAAATATGCCTGCAGCACACAACCCATGCATTTCAGACCTTTGCCATTTTAAATGGGGTGCATACCACAATGTGTGGACACTATTTTCACATGTACTGCAAAGCACAGTCAGCTCAAGCGAAAGGGGCATTTGATATTTAAAATAGGCCCTTGCACACTTTGTAGTCAAACCACATTGTTGAAAACTGGTGTGGGCAGGAGCTGTAACATGTCCTCCCCCATGGGCCCCAGAGCTTCTAATATTACCTTGATGGTGCAAGAAACAGTTGACTTCAGTAGCTTATGTATATTAAAAAATATGTGCACAGAATTGAAATATACTCAGAGTTGAGAGTGGATTTCATGCTCTTTATTCAGCTCATAGTGGTGAGGAGGAATGAAAGTCCCCTCAAAGTATCTGCTTTATATACATTATTTACACAATGGGCTGCACGTGATTGGCTAATTCCGGAATTCTCCTGTAGGCCAATCAGGTTGTGGATTCAATTCCATCTGGAGCCGGATTGGGTGGCTCCTGCAGACCAATCATACTGCTGCATTGTTCTAGGACCAATCAAACTGCTGCATTCTGAATCCTATTGTTCTAGGACCAATCAGACTGCTGCATTTTGGATCCTATTCAACTCAGTAAATAACAAGAACCATGGACATAAGGTGATAGAACTTGGTTGAAGTTAACACGTCTCATGTTGTCTTTAACATGTCTGTTTATAGTCAATGATTTCAATGTGAAAAAAGTATCCTAAGTAGAATATATTAACCACCATACCAGGTAAGATATATTCATCCTCTCATGCACCAATTGGTGCTATGTGCATGCGTTCCAATTCCATGCAGAATTATTCTAGGGCTATGTATATACAGAATTCCTACCACTGAATCACTGTCATCTACAACAGCTTTCAAAGAAAGGGAGTTTCCAGAAATGGTTCTCCATGGTAGCTTCTGGCCAGTGTGATAGCAGTAGGAAATTCATCTCAGAAAGCAGGAAGACTTCAGAGAAGGCAATCATGTGGTAGGACGTGTGTTCTGGTGTTTGCCAGAACATGCAAATTCCAAAGTGTGGATTAAGGACAGGATTGTGTGTGCGCCCCACTCTATTCCCTGATATTTATCAGAGTTCCTGCTCACACAGAAAATTCTGTTCACATTTGTGTCCTTCCCATACAGCAGGGAGAAGGTTAAGCACTGAATGGGAGGGGTGGACACACAAAAAAAATGGAAGGCGAAGCTTGTGTGCCCCTATGGACTTGTTGGAAGATGCCTGTGTAAAATACAGAAAAGAAAAGAAAAGAAAAGAAAAGAAAAGAAAAGAGAGAGAAACATGCTTTCATAGTTTTTAGTGGGATCTCCCCCAATTACATCAATACCATGGTAGATTATGTAAGGCATAAGAATAACTATATGTTCAACCCAAAATATATAACAAGGAAAAATCCATCTCTACGGTTAATTATGTCAAAGTGGCTTTAAACTATGAGTCACGTTCAGCTAGCTAATGACATAATGTAGATTATTTAGTCTAGTTGGTTGCTGAATGACATCATACAATAAACACTTGACACATTTGCCTCATCATAACTTGTGGCAGTGTTTTAATACACATGCTGAGTGAAAACGGCAGAATGTGAAAAGTTCATTAACTGAAAGTGTTTGAAACTGATGATAAATTAATGTTGGTATATTTTTAAAAAGATGAATAATATTTATAAACCTAATATCTGCTGGAAATGTGCCTTGATAGCAGGCAGTAGACTAGTTACATATGTGGGGGTCATGTCCAGCAATCCAGACATTCTAGGCTCAAATGTAAAAGAACATCAAAGGGGTAATTAATGTTGCTTGAACTAACTCACACAAGCATACCTAAGGCACATTGCTCATTAATATCTAACTTAACATCTGCTAAGCTAGTCGTGGCAAACAGCAATGCCAACTTTTTCAAAAATTAATAATTGAAGATGAGAAATAATGTTGATCATAAAGAGAGCTGAACATTGCTGTCACAAGCATCACCAGCCTACTGGCCCATCTTGCTCATTTTGCCCATAATCCTGTTCTCGCAGTGGTCAACCAGTCCATGAGAAGCCCACAACCAGAACCCGAGCACAATAGCACTCTCCTGCTGCTACTTGTTCTTTCACATATTCCTCGTACCAAATGGTAGCTGCTAAGGTTCTTGTGCCAGGAAAGCTGGTGGGCTCAAAGCTAAAATTACATTTGTTGTTGACTTTTGCTGCTTCAATGCGAAACACACCAACTATCAGGAGGCAATCTGGTGGAGTGGAATGAAGCAATGTCGAGCAATTGTGCCCAAAGTGATCTCCAACTAAATGGAATTTGGAACATCTCCTAAGTATTACAATGCATCCTTCCAGTGGGCCAAATTGCTTGTCTGTTCATCCAAAAGCTTGCTGGAACACAAGCATACAGCTACTTTGGCTGTACAAAAGAGGCCTAGAGCCCATTAGGGACCCTGACCTTAAGAATGGGATATCAATGGCTTCCTCTGAGCTACAGAATGCTTCTCCTAATTACGTCGTTTAGCAGGATTTTTTTTTTTTTTAATGTCCAAGTCATTCTGAATCAACAGTTTCATTCCACCATAGTACTTGTGTCTGCAAAAAGGAAGGAAGAAAACACATTGCACTAGACACCCTAATCCAGAGGCTAAGGTGAACTGCAGAGTGAAACGTGATACTATGTCATTACAAATGAGAAGGCTGTTTCACATACACATCTCTTTACAATAGTGGGATAATGTCTTGTAGCCACACAGCCCTGCTAGAAATATTTGCACTGGACAAATACACACACCACCATTGCCCATGCATTTCACATATGTGAAATGTGGGATCCAGGGTCAATCAGTTCTCCCTTGTGTTGAGGAGTTCTTCATGTGTACACACATAGAACCCCTCCTGAAACATGCTGGAAGTGCTTATGAACCTCATGTGCACTTTAGAGCCTGTGCATTCATATCACATAATTACTGGACTGAGATCTGATGAATGATGAGTAGGAATGGAGAAATCTGTCAATTTTGGTTCTCCGCGTTTCTCACTTTTCCAGTCTTAAATTCAGTTCTCTGTTTTTCCACACCAATTTGGATTTTCTTTTAAAAAAATACTCATGAAAATTTATCAACATTTTCCTGCAAATTTCTTCCAATGAACACATTTTTTTGTATGCAATTTGGTTAATATGCACATTTTTGCAAGATTTCCTACAATATGACAATGTTATTTTCAATAATGTATGCATTTTTATACCCACTTTAGCCTAGAATATGTTTTTTTTTTGTTGCCCTACTTGTCTGGGGAACTGTATTGCAAAATTTGGAGAAGTGAGAGTTTTGGTCCACATATTGTTTTGAGAAGTGCAAATTGAGTAGGTTTGCCTTTAGATGCAAACTGCATTGATTTTCTTCCTCATCCCTAGTGGTGAGACTGCTGACAGGTCAGGCTTTTCTGTAAATCTTGTGTGGAGAGGAGCTGAACTGAATTTAAGGCTCCATAGCTAAGAAGTTCTCAAATTACTCCTAGTGATATGCATGGATTTTGAAACATCAAAATAAGGCAGAAGCAATTTAGCCAGCCGAGCCTGTCACAACAGCTTAGCCAGATTATTTGGTGTGAAGGCCAAACTGATATACTGAGATAGTTATGCCAACGGTTATTTTCAAGGAATGTGCTCAAAATATTTTACACAGCCATGTGGAAAATACAACCACAGAAGTGAGCTGGTTGATACATTATTCCCAGGGCTGCCTTAATCCACACAAAGAAACAGAGCATTAAACTGGTTAGCAATTGCTCATTGCAGACTGCCTAATTATGTGCAAATATTTTATTTCAGCAGAAACAATTGTCACTAAAAGATAGTGTCAGATTCATTTTAATTTACAAGAATGGCATGGAAGCAGCTTCAAAACCAATGTGACGATAAACTCCTATGAAGGAACACATGGGTAGGTTCGCACTGACATTTGGATCTTTATCACTGAACATTACAGTCTTCAGACACTGCATCCCTCCTACCAACATGTCACTTTCTAGTACTTCTCTCCATCACACCATCTATCTATGTTACAGTTCTTGTCCTGCACATTTGAATGTTAATTGCTAGTCATAGGAACCTGTCTCTAGTTATCTACTATCTTGCTTGTACTTTGACGAAATGTAGACTTCCATGCCATTCAAGATTGTTTCATGTGTTCAGTAGTTCCTTTCATGCTTCAAGCAGTCAACAAAGCCAACATTTGACACTCCTTAGTGATGCATGACAAAATCTGCTAGTTGTACCAAAAACTTTCTTTTTTGCCTCCCTTAATGATTCTTCAGATGATTTGACTGAGGAGGAAGTGGAACCCATTAACCCAGGTGTTTTGATTTTATCTCAAGCATGTGGGAGGATTCCACAACACTTTCCATATTAGCAGCAACCTACTGGGAATTTGGGCAACACTTTATTATGGAAAGGCCATTCATGAGTTCAACTACCTGGCCTCTCTTCCAGTGGTACGAGTGCAAAACAGGAGTAGGGAAGATACAATATAGCAACTGTCATGTCCCAAAGGCATGGCTTATCCTGGACAAATAAAGCACAGTTTTATACGTTTGTCATGCCCTGGGTGTGCTACTGTAATTTGCTTTATGTGGGGTTACCCCTGAAGATGGTTCATAAGCTTCCACTGGGACAGAACAAGGCAGCCAACACACTGAGAGGAACCACTGTCCGGAGGCATACTACACCAGTTTTGAAAGATCTACACTGGAAGCTAATCTGTTTCCACACCCAATTCAAGGCGCTTCTCTTGACATGTAAAGCCCTAGACATCTTGGACCCCAAATATTTTGCCACATTGACCTGACCAAGCATTAAGAAATGTGAGAGAGGCCACTGCTGAGCATGGCTCAAGGAGCAGTGGAACATGTGATGGGCTTTTCAGTGGTAGTCCCAAAGGTTTGGAATGCTTCTTCCTCCAAAATGTTCTGCACCAATATTGTGCATCTTTCTTCAGCAAGTCAAAATGCAACTTTTTTGCCCAGGCTTTGGGAGGGGTGGAGATGATATTATGTTTTAGTCAATTCCAGCCTCTCTACTTTTAAGACATGCTGATATTTTGTCCAAGTCATTGCTTGTATTGCCACTGACCTTGAAACCCCAACTACTTACCCTCTAACAGAGAATTAATGGGATCAATAGAACCAATTAACATCGGACCATGCCTGACATTATAGTTTACAAATTTAAGTTACCAACGTGCACCTCCAAATAATGTTCATGATGAAAAGAAATGATATAATACCTATTCACATTAAAATGAGAACATGATCAGTTTGTTCTCAGCAATACTTAGCATATAAATAACTTCAATGCATGCAGGTATCATGTTGAGAAAGTAATGGCAGACCTGAGATTTGTATGTTTATTGATTCTTTTAAAATGCAAATCTTCCTTTAATTTAAAAAATAAACTCCAACTCACAAAATATAATAAACACAGTAAAAACAGTCCAAATGACGAAAATCAACTCAATACAATAAATATGGATTGCATTATTTATGTGTGTTTCATGCTGAAGGCTGTAATCTTCTGCATACATATTTCAGAAAGTCCCATTGAAGATGGACG